TAACAACTTCAGAGAAAGCTGTAACAACCGAGCAGCCTACAGCTCCTCCTCTGACAATCCCAACAAGCCATCAGAGATCTGGCTGAACTGTATGAACTCAATGTGTGAGGGGCTCAGTTTAAGATGCACATCCTGCACACACAGACAGGATGACAAAGACATTCACTCTTGGGAGCAGCTGAAGCATGGAGTCGAGGACACAGCTGCCAGAGGCACAGCAGCTCCCCCATGCCAGGAGAATGCGAAGCCCCCGAGCAATGCTGCCCTGTGCTGCCTGCACCCCACACGTGCGTGCTTTTCTCCAGCACCTTCTGCTCGACAAGTCTGTCTCTGCTCAGCTCTGTGCTCTGGCAGAGTCTGGGATTTAAGTCTTGAGGATGACAGGGTTGAAAACGCTTAAACCGCACGGTGCCGCAGGTTGAGGAGTACAGCAGGATGAACTGTGGCGCTTAATACAAAGTATGATCATCTACTTGGTCAGAAGCGTGCTTGAGTAGTACAGTTCAAGAAACAGCAGGTGATTCACGTCAGAGGTGACAATTTGTAACACGCACTGCCACATGAAAGTGGTGAGAATGCCTGTGAAACACCAGCCACAGCCACAACTGCCACCTCATGTGCTGTTTTTTGTCCCTCCTTTCTCTAGCAGCTGCAAAGAATAAAGTGAGTACGTAGGAGTGACTGTACCTCTTCCTAACTGTATGCAGTGCTCTAGGGTCTCTCATCCACTTCCTTCTCTTTCCTGGCAGTCCTCTGATACACCACATTTGAAACTTGCCCAGAGGCTGCTGGAGCAAACAGTGACAGCAAACAGACCTATTTCCCAAGAGGGAAAACACAAAACTTCCCCTCTGCAACATCCCCAGTTCTTCTGAAAACAGGATGAGAGTCAGGATGCAGAACCCTGAGTTCAGGGGACTGGATTTAACCTGGATTTCCTGGCAAACATGCAGAGCTCATCAGTCTGTCATGTAGACTTGAATGCTCAAAAATGGGAACAGGCTACAAGTTGGATTACATTGTTTTAAATGCTCTGTTTACAATTATGAGAAAACCCTGCTCAATCCCCTGCCTGAGTAAACATCCTTGGGGTGTTGCCATCACTTGGAAATAATAGGGACTGTATATACAATAGACCCCCAGAATAACAGGGTATAGGGAAAAAGAAGCAATAGTAACTGCTAAGAACACATTTACTGCATATTTGTTACATTGATGATTCTTCTATCAAACGCAGAAGTCAACGTGTCTATATATGAGCACCTGTAGTTCTGGGGAGATTTTTGTTTAAAATTAATAATATCACCCTTAAAGATACTGCTGCCACTTTGCTTAAGGCACACTGAGAATCTGCAAAGATATACCAGCACCACAACTGGCAGCAAGACTACAGTTTAGAAGATGGGAATCTCGAAGTGAGCAGAGGGAAATGAAATTTATTAAGAGAAGAAAGCTACAAACACTTCATTCCATGCTTTGCGTTATTTGCTGAATATTACATGGCTCTGAAGCCTGACCAACTGTTTCAAGTTACAGAAGGAACTCCAGTATGGCCAAAAAATCAGTGCAATTGTGAGGCGAAGCTTGAACAAACATGACTTTGTTTTCTGTTGTTTACGGATAGCTTTTCAGGCCACATCAGTACCCTTGCTGTTATGCACATAAATCTCAGAGGCCTTTGCTACAGTAAAGATTTTTCTCTCTTTGTCAGAATCAGTCGAATGAAAACCATCTTTGGTAGGGCATTTACAATGCATAGAGCAGGTTTTTTTGAAGCTTCATCTCATTAACAGGAACAGTCTTGTCAGCAACAGAGGAAGGTAGTATTGCCCCAAATGCCTTCTGGAGGGACAATGACTTGAAGTGACAAGCAGCTATGCCTCCAGGATCGTTTAACCCCTTTTGCCTCCTTCCAGGCACTACGACTGCTCTTCTGTGTTACAGCACATCACCCACCAGACAGATACTTGTTGAGCAACTTGCTGGACTGAGGGAACAGACTTAATTTCACGCCGACTTTGAACAGCTGGGCAGCAACATTAGTAAGACTCAAGGCAAGACTGAACATACACTGCTTGTCCACACAAACAGGATTTTTTCCTACCACGGCGCACCAAAGCTAATCTGTTTTCAGTGCGGTGTACAGTGGAGCCTGTCAGGCTCTCTCTTCAGTCGGGCACCACAGAAAAGGAAAACCAAACCAGGTTAAAACAAACATAGCTGCTTCCAGACTCCCTCAAAGCCTCTTTCTGTCTGGAATCTCTCAACTCTGGCAAATTAAACAACCATCCAGGTGTGTTATTTTAAAACTTTAGACCTTGGTAGCGTTAAGCTGCAGGGTGTGCAGGCAGCAGCACTGGGTGAGGGAGCTACTGAGAGCGACCACATTCCAGCCAGCCGCTTCCCCTCTCCTCCCTATCCCAGCACGAGTTTTTCCTTGGGACTGCTTTTACTTACTGAAGCAACCTGCTCAGAACACCAGACCAGAAACAACTCGCCTAACTTCACCCTGGGAAAACGTTTGTATTTTCAATTTGTAGAAATATAACTTTTCTTGGGCAACCTTTTACTTGGGCTTTGGAAGAGTACTCGTAACAGATTTTTCAGCTCCTGAAAATCTGGATGGCTATTTTGGGACAAATTTTTCCTTTTACCCCCCAAACCTCACTAGGAACATACGAAACCAACGCACATCTGCATTAAGGTTCAGGTTTGGCAAACTAGTCTTCTCACAACAAAAGAAGTTTTGTAAAATGTTTATCCCAGATCTTTCATGCAGCATGAGAGGGCCACAAAAGCAGCATCCCCAAAGGGACAAGCTTTCCTGTCTTGTAGCATGCCCACACAGCAAATTCAGATCAAAACCATAAGCTAAACACCGAACGACCCCCAGAAAACCTCTAGGGACAACATGCCATCCTCCCCCAAAAACCATCAAATTCGACACATTAGTAGGAAGTATTAGTATCCCATGGACCTGAAGTGGTCACCTTCCTGCAGATCATTTTTATAAACTCTGCCTCCCTAGAAGAGGCATTCCCCTAACAATTCAGCCCTCCAAGCTAGAGGGATGAAACCAGCATTGATGTGGCAGGCTGTCACTAATAGGCACAGGCCTGGATCACTTCGGGTTTGGGTAATTTGTATAGTATTGAGTAGATATCATTTATTGTTTTCAATACCTTGCCCAATTAGCACGCATCACATTGCCTTGTTTCTTATTATGCAAATATTTGACACAACCTGCCCCACGCCAGTTTCATGTATCTGATCAGGTTAATCATCTACGCCCTTCAGCTGACAGATGAATACTCCAACAGGACGCTTCCATTCTTGAGAGGTTCACAAAAATCACAGGTCCTTTCCATCTGAACTAACATAACAAGGTTATTTTCCTTTCAGTGAGGTAAATGGGCTCTCTCAGAACAGAGCCATTCAGATGTTCTTGTAGATACTGTCTTCTAACTCAGTTATTTGTGGTACAACACGTACAGAGACACAATTTAGGAAGCTGGCTAGAAATCGTAAGAGGAGTTTATTCCCAGTTTTGTGCTGTCCTTCTTTGAGATCTTTATCTCCCTATTACCTGAGGTGGGATGACGATATTTACCCGTGGGGAAAATGCTTTGAGACTGAGAGAAAAGTATTATGATTATAGGATAACCTTGGAGGCTTACAGTTCTTATAATATTCCCATCCACTTGGCACTTCTGGTTTCATTATAATGTTAGACAGGGAGGCACCCTTGAAGAAAACTTTTCCATGTTTCAATATCCGAAGCACCACTTTTAAACTCTAAGCCTTCTAGGCTTTCTCTGTGAACAACATGTAACATGATGGTTGTGATGGTACCCAAGGCAAAATTCACCTTATCCATCCTAAGCTCTTTTGAAAATGAGCATCTACCTCAAGTAAACCATCACTGCCTTCTCTCTGAGCGATAAAGACAGACAAGGCACCTCTAGAAGAGAACAATGCTTTCCAAGATCTTCAGCATGAACCAGCTTTCAGACGATTCCACAGGAAGCCCCTAAGCAGTTGCTCCCTACCATACAACTGACTTCTACGCGGCTGGCGCTCAGGCAAGTCCCACACTCTGCATCCACCACACCACCCCTCTGGCACTGACACTCCTTCTACTGAACGAGTAAAAGCAAGGGTGGCAATTTCTAACAACGTTCCTATTACCATCCAGTGTTGAATCACTAGAAGATATTCAAATGTGGGACTGTGAGACTTACAAAAGCATGTCACATCACAACTGGATACCACTACTCCCCCCGAACCAGTCCAGCTGGCACTACCCCACCACGTGCAGGCAACTAGAAACACAGTGTCAGTTGTCTTCATGCGCTGCTGCACGTTACCCTTAGCAGTAGGGATCCAAGATCTCAGGATCAAAGGAAGGAGGCGCAGAAAACAAGAACACACATTGCAGCAGGAGGTGACAGTAAACAGAAACCCTCTCAGTCCTCACAGAGAGGTTTTTATTAAGGGCTGCTAAAATTAAAGCTCCTTTTAACTTGGTTTTAAATACTTCATTCCCTTGGCACCTTCTTCAAAAGCACAGTTACAAACCCAGGAGTGCACAGGAAAAGGAAAGTGATTTAAGTTTGTAACTCTCCCTTCCCCTCGCATATCTCTTTTTGGCTGCATTTAGGTCTAGTCACAGAAAGTTATTTTTTAAGCAGGTTTAACTTGCAGAGAACGTGAAATGAGTGTTGTTTGTCAAAAATGACTACCAGTCGTCTTGGTGTATGCATACCCCAAGTGCTCACAGCGGGGAGAAAAGATAACCCTCCCTTGATCTAAAAAACAAAATAATAAAAGACCAAAAGAGAGTGAGAGAAGGACAGGGTTCCAAAACAGGTTTCATTAATAGCAGCTAGATCTGAAATCTTGAAACACCAATACGATCTAAAATTAATTTACTTCAAGGAAAAATAAAATGTGCCAAATTCCCCCCTCCCTCCTTTCTCACCTCCTGTGCCTTCACTTACTTTCTTTCAGTGTCGGGTGTAGACGCGGTGCTGCTGAGACCAAGTGACTCCTGCAAAAGAAGACACATAGCAGTGACAGCAGACACGAGAGTAGCCTTCGCCCAATTTATGCAGAATACCAAATTAAAGAACAAGCAAACAGAAATAGATCACCAAAATCGAAGTGCTTACCTCAACCTGGGAGCGCAGCTGTAGAGATGTGGGGCTGGCATCAGGTTTTTCCTAAAACAGAACAAATGTCAGGTTAATGAAATATCTGAGCACTAGAGAGAAGAAAACTGAAGGGGAGAAAAAGGGAGCAAGAAACAGGGTAACAGAATCTAGGACTACCTCAAAACCACTAAAAAAGGAAACATTAACCTCTCCAGAAGGAACTACTTTCAGGATAAATTCTGAAATGCTCCAGTAAAACAGCAAATTCCATCCTCATCTCTGGAGAATATAGAAAATTGCCAGACAGAAACGATTCAAAACAAAACCAGAAGAGGAATGTGTTATTTTCACTAGATCATCACACAACTTGTTAGGTAAGTTCAAGTGCAATTTTCCAAAATTTACCTTCAGGAAAAATATACAGGGAAAATCTGGCATTAAAAGAGGATTTTCTGAGCAAAAAATACTGAGAGGATTCTGATACATCTCATCAAGGCCAGTTTCTCACACAGAAATTTGACAATAGGTAGTTCAAATCACCCTCCTTCAAACATCTATGATATAACCAGCTACCCCAGGACTCGGGTCATCCAGGCTCCCTTTGCAGTCGATGGAGAGAGACAGGAACTCTTACAGAACAACTCGCCTGACAGGTTTCAGCTGCCTCAAGTTAGATGAGGCAAGTTCCACTGGTGGTATCTAATTTAAGATTGCAAGCCAGCTGCCTAAAAGGCACATACTATTAACAACAAGTCTAGTTGAAGTCACTGGGAAAACTCCAATTAGAATGGAGGAAGAAATTATAGTTGTCAGTACTGAGAACTATACTTTGCCGGTTAATCTGCATGTGAAACCACGGGGGAACTTACTTATGGCTACTTTATTCTCAGACAGTCTTACCCCTAGTGAAGTTACTGCAAAGTGAGTACTGTAACCAAAAGGCTATCATAGCTGAGTACGCAACCACAGTAGCACACACATTCCAAAAAAATAAAAAAAAGGACATGGATTTATTTCTCAGTACCGGAGGTCTTTTTGTTCATGCATTCCTCAGCCCACACATAAATCTCTTATCTCTGTGAAATTGTACTTCCTATGCCCTTTGTTTACAGAAAGGGTGACAAACCATTCTTAAGATGTAATACAAAAAAAAAAGAAAACCAGGCACCATTTTCTGGAAACGCAGCCTTTTAATACTAAAGAGGAAATTACCATTGACTGCCATGAATTGGTGTTGGATTAGCCCGCCCAGAAATTCTGCAAGATCTAGAGTAGAGAGGAGCCTACTCTGCTGTCACACGACTGAGTCAGCTTGTACTGACGGCCACGGCAGCCAGGAGGGCAAAGGACAGCTCACGGCCACGGGCTTACTAGTAAACAAGGCTGACACAGGTTCATGGACCCACTGAGGGATTTTGCCTGAGTCTGCGTTCTACTTTTGCTGAATTTTAGCACAAAAAGGGAAATTAAGTCCTTGAGTGGAAGTCAGCATGAAAAGGCGGCCATGTTCACTTAACTGACAGATCCAACAGGACTCCTCTAGTCAAGCAGAAGCTGGACCAAGCCCAGGCAAATTCCACAGATGTTCACAGATTAGAAAAGTGAAATTAGCTATTTGGCACCAGGCATCCCCCTCTTTCTCCATTAGCTCTGTCAAAACGGAATCCAAGTAACTTTTGCATCTGGAAAAGACTGCAGGCGCATCGCTGCAAATCCTCCTCAGGCACTCTCCCACCCCTGCCTAGCAGTCCACAGGGAGGAAGGGCAAGACAAGCCCATGGCCCAAACGTTTCCCATTTGTGAGCACCTTGTTCGTCCACACACTGCTGCACAGATGAAAAAGGGGTGTTTTATCAGCTACCCCATCTCGAAGTTTCAGTATGCCAGTCAGGAGAATCCACTGTGTCCCCAACTTGCCTTTAGATCCCAACTTCCTAATGATTTATCTGTTGCCTTAAAAAGCTGCTTGCTGCAACTGTTTTTTAAAAAGATACCCTAGTTGTTATAAATCATTTACAAGATGCCGTCTGGGTTCCCAAGGCTTTATAGAAGTCTTTTGCTTGAGCAGTTGCTCATGAAGTTGCAGCCTGAGATTGCAATTAGATGGAAAGTTACTACTTTCAGCCTAAAACTATTCAGCTGAATAGTCAGCTGCATCCCGTGTAACAAAATCTTAAAAAAACTGACTGTATTTGCTTTCTTTTTTCTCATTTACTGTCAAGCCCACCCCGTTGGAACAGAAGCAGTTTTATAGGATCAAGATGACTGTGGAGGACAGAAGCAAGGACAACACTCCTCTCCCTCCTCTAAAGCTCTACTTTGCAATGCTGGAATGCAAAACACCTGGTAGTCCTGTATGGTTGTGATTAATATTCCTACCTGCCTTCCAGCAGAATGATATTTTTCCTATTACTATTTAGACAAGAAACCAAAGGAAAATACTTGGGAAAATACTACTCCTGACTGAACTTCTGACATATATCTGTATCACAAACTTTTATCAGCCTCGAGCAATTCTATTTGTTTAGGTTAAAACCCATTAAATCTCACGTTAAACCTCACATTAAAATCCACAGGTTGTGTTGACTTTAATCCAGGAGGATCAGGGCCTTTTTTATACCAAGGGCTAATTCTAGAAGGTTGAGCAAATGTTGTACGGTTGGCATGCTCTCAAGCACGCTATAGCATCTTTTAAAAAAATATTTTCAAAGATTAGTTTCATGAAAGTACATCTTTCACCCTTCTGAACCAAACATTAAAAATGAAACAGAGGAGAGCTTGGGTTTACAGAAACAGCAGCTGCAGGAAGGGACATCCCTAACCTGTGTTTCCAGGACTCTGGCCTAGACAAAGCAGGCATCGGAGCGATAGCTATTTTCCATCCTCGCAGTCTGCTGCCCCAGATAACTGCCCTCCACGTGTGCCCACAAAGCTTGTCTGAGGTGTGCCAGACATTCACACCACCCACACACTATGTGGTATTGGTGCAAGAAACCCAATGATCTGAGAAAGTACCCAATCAAGTGCAGACTCCTTAAGCTATGTGATTAAATCCAGTGTTTCCTCAAAGTGTCTGATTTACTTGCATGGTTTCCGGACTTAAGAGGCCCTGCCTAAGTCACCCGTCCTGTACCCAGGCACTGTTGGTGCATATTGCACACGTCTAATGAACTGTTAAATCACAGCAACTAAGATCTGAAGATTCTGCAGGAATTGCAATATTCATAAATTGTATCCACCCCCCAGGGAAGACGTAAGAGGGAGGGCAACAATGGCTTAGCATCAGCTTGTCCAGCTCTCCTTGAGTTCCAAGGCTAGCGCAGCACAGAATCTTAAATACTGATAATAAAGCCAGAGGGAGCTGTTAAAAATTAGCAATGTTAATATCCTGTAGAGCGAAGCCCATTGAATTTAAACTAAGGATTCCCCCATCAAGTCACCTACAGCCGATTTAAAACAATCTCAACTTGGAAAAGTACTTCTCTCAGCTTTAAAGCCATATTCTTAGCAATTCTATTTCCTTCCTCTGTCCTTCACCCAAAGCTGACGCTGCTAAGAGCATGGCTGCAGGACAAGGCCCCAGGGTCCTGGCTGAAGCTCTGATCCAGCAGCTAGAGGAAGGGATGGACGGCAGGCGTCACGCTGCCCACGTACTGCCTGGTATCACCAACCCTTCTGCACTGCGGGTGCTGCAGAAAGCGACTGTGGAGCTGAACTGACAAGGCTGGAGAGCTCTGGTGGAGAAGCGTGTATCGGGGAAGGGCTTTTTACAAATCTCTCATTTTGAAAGAAAACGCGTGTTGTAAGAATAACAAGCTGGATTTGTGGCTTATGCTTCAAGTCTTAAGTTGTTTGCCTCAGGGCTCAAGAAAGAAGCTTCCTTCACAGGTAGCTTCTGCTTACTTTGTACACTGTGTGATTTATGTAATCATTTGGATACATGTTCTTTTCAAATCATTGCAGGCTTCTAAATATTGTGATTTCAGTTTTATATAAATATTATATATATATAAAAATATATAAATCTTGAGAAGAGTTTTACATTAATTTCTGAGCTAAGCCTGAAAAACACATATAGGAAGAAAGTACAAAGCACAAAATATACAGGGAAGGAGCTGGAAACCCATTTCCTGACTGGAATGGCAGGTTTTGAATTCACAAGGAAGTTTTCCTCCTGTGATAACTCCAGTTCAGTTGTTCTGTACGTAACATAGCAGATAAGGGACATCTCCACCTATCTGAAAGCGCTGCTGTTCTGCTACTGAAATATACAAGCATAGCAGAGAAGATCATCCAAAAGGAAATCTGGTTACCCAGGGTAAGGCTTACACATTCTAGGGGGAATGGGCATATTTTAATTACCTAAATGTTAAGCTTCATCTATGCTCCAGACCGTAACTTAGTTTAGGAAATTACATTCATTGAATGAATCCCTTCTAATTAGAAATTCATGAACCTCTTCACAGTTTCTGCTACAGGAGCTGTATCCATTTGAATTATAAATTTAAACACTCCTCTGCAGATCCCTAGACAGGATTAATCTCACTGTGCAGACAGCAACTGTGCAAAGTGAGACCCAGGCAAGCGCTGAGAAAATTCAGTGACATAACCACTGGAAAAGGAGACGGCTCAAATGCTCACAAACTTAGAAATAATTTTATGAAACCATTTCAGCAGGTGCAAATAAGGCACCTACAGCAGAAAACTTTTGTGAGAAAATTCTACCAGTCTCTTTCCTCATTTTCCCTGTTTGCGCTGAACGTGCACTGCATGTTCTAGTCTAGCTTCTGAAATGATTAAACAAAGTTACATCTGAAAATAGCCAGAGCACCGAAGGCAATAAGAATTTGATTTACTTTGAAAGCAATCATTCTGCCCAGAGTCCTCGACCACACACCATATTTCAGCCCCTGCAGAGGTTCTGGAGAAGGTGAAGGGAAGCCCCTGTGCAGAGAGAGAGCAGGTAGGCAGGTATGTAATGGAAATGGCCCACAAGTCACTAGCTATGGGTCATAAGCAGGAATAAAGAAATAAAAAAAGACCTATCCCTGTGGCAACCATCTCAGCAA